GTGTATCAGTATGTAGAGTCTCTACTTTAAAGAGTCCTCTCCTGCTGATGTTCAGGTGTATATCAGTATGTAGTGTCTCTACTTTAAAGAGTCCTCTCCTGCTGATGTTCAGGTGTGTATCAGTATGTAGTGTCTCTACTTTAAAGAGTCCTCTCCTGCTGATGTTCAGGTGTATATCAGTATGTAGTGTCTCTACTTTAAAGAGTCCTCTCCTGCTGATGTTCAGGTGTATATCAGTATGTAGTGTCTCTACTTTAAAGAGTCCTCTCCTGCTGATGTTCAGGTGTATATCAGTATGTAGTGTCTCTACTTTAAAGAGTCCTCTCCTGCTGATGTTCAGGTGTGTATCAGTATGTAGTGTCTCTATGTATGGCCATGTGTTTGCCTTTATAAAAACGTGTCTGATGTATTTCTAACAGAAAAGCTGGTAGATATAAATCTTTTAAATGTTTGCTATATTTTGAATATTTTCACAAGGCTTTCTGACGGGGAACTGAAGCCGTTATCTACGTTCCTTCAAAGCCTGCAGACATTTACAAAAACAGTAATTTTACCTGGCGGAAACAAGGAGCCGTTTGTGTTATCTTTGGTGAATCAGAACTAACTGTATAACGCACACATTAAAACTAACTAACTAACAGATCAGGGCGACTGCTTTGTTCTTCGAGGTAAAAATACTATTTTTGTCAATGGAGTCTGGAGGTAGGTAATGGCGTCAGATCCACTTTCAAAACGGGCCATCTGACAGCGAGTTAAAGCAGTGGAAATATTTTTAAATCCACGTTTCCTTAAAGCCAACAGACTCCTTTGAGAAAAGTGATTTTTACCTCGCAGAACAATAGAGTCTACTGTCTAAAATAAGCTTTGATCAGTGACTCTGGTAAATCTGAACTAACCGTTTAAAACACCAAAGGCACACAAGCAACTCCCATTTTTAAATCACTGTTTTTGTGTTTGGAGTCTGGTGGCTTTGAAGAAATGTAGATAAAGATCTTCAGTTCTGACGGTAAAACGGTAAAGCAGGGAAGATACTGTAAACTTAAACTGATATTAATGTTTTTAGGCGTCTAAAAGACGTACACAGAAGTTCAGTGTTTAGCTTCCTGCTGGTACTCCTTTCTGTTTCTCTCAACTACCATCTACAGAAGATAAATACACAACTTATAGAGAAGGCCTTCAAACTAGCTGCACCTTTACTAGCTCTGAGAACACTCTAATGATCAATCATTATAAAACATATCATATATATTATTCTGAAATGGACCAATCTGCACAACGACTACTTTCACTGTCTTTCACTATATTTAGATGAGAATACTTTTCTACTTTCACTTGAGGAACATTTTGAATGCAGGACTTTTAGTATTCCTACACTCTGGTACTTTTACTCAAGTATAAGATCTGAGTACTTCTACTTTTACTCAAGTATAAGATCTGAGTACTTCTACTTTTACTCAAGATCTGAGTACTTCTACTTTTACTCAAGAACAAGATCTGAGTACTTCTACTTTTACTCAAGAACAAGATCTGAGTACTTCTACTCTTACTCAAGTACAAGATCTGCGTACTTCTACTTTTACTCAAGAACAAGACCTGAGTACTTCTACTTTTACTCAAGAACAAGATCTGAGTACTTCTACTTTTACTCAGGTACAAGATCTGAGTACTTCTACTTTTACTCAAGAACAAGACCTGAGTACTTCTACTTTTACTCAAGAACAAGATCTGAGTACTTCTACTCTTACTCAAGTACAAGATCTGCGTACTTCTACTTTTACTCAAGTACAAGATCTGAGTACTTCTACTTTTACTCAAGAACAAGATCTGAGTACTTCTACTTTTACGAAGTACAAGATCTGAGTACTTCTACTTTTACTCAAGTACAAGACCTGAGTACTTATACTTTTACTCAAGAACAAGATCTGAGTACTTCTACTTTTACTCAGGTACAAGATCTGAGTACTTCTACTCTTACTCAAGTACATGATCTGCGTACTTCTACTTTTACTCAAGTACAAGATCTGAGTACTTCTACTTTTACTCAAGAACAAGATCTGAGTACTTCTACTTTTACGAAGTACAAGATCTGAGTACTTCTACTTTTACTCAAGTACAAGATCTGAGTATTTCTACTGTTAATAAAGTACAAGATCTGAGTACTTCTACTGTTAATAAAGTACAAGATCTGAGTACTTCTACTGTTAATAAAGTACAAGATCTGAGTATTTCTACTGTTAATAAAGTACAAGACCTGAGTACTTCTCCCACCTCTGATATTATGAGCATGATGTCCGTTTGACTGTGATTACATTTAGCAGAAAGCTGTCTACGTCAGTCGACTTTACTGAAACATCTACACCTCCACTGACCATGAACAAGCTGTCCTTCAAACACGTGTCTGTGTATTCAATGGAAAACATTTGAAAGGGAAGTTAGCCATGTTGAGTTTTAACATTTTGATGGTACTGATCAGAAATCTAAGAGCATGACCTCTCTGCAGATAATAAGCATAACGAAGTGAATGACTCTCATAATGAAACCCTCTTATCGAACATAAGGCTGAGCGCCACACGCTACCAATCGCAGCTGTGGAGACATTGGTTTAGTTGTCTCTTTGTAGGACACTGATTTAAATGATTCTTAAACTATGAATTCTTGTTACGCTGTGTATGTAATTTATTATATGTAATGTCTTTTATCTGGACCCTGAGTCTGCAATCAAGTTTTCATTCATTCATAATATTTAATAATAATGTAAGCGTCTTTGAGCATTAGGAAAAGCGCTATACAAATCCCATGTATTATTATTAATATTATTATAACGTCAATAAGTCCAGGGCTTTTCTCACTTCACTGTCGCAGCTCTCACACTTTGTTCAAAGCATCAGCAAAGGACCAAAGCATGACGTGTCAAAGCTAAAGTTTGTGCAGCGTGTGAAGGACCGTGCCAGAACATATGGAGCTGTCAGAGGGTCTGGATCTGAGCCTGGGAATATACGAGGGTCTCTGAGAGGAACCTCGTGGAAAATGTTCCCCGGTTCTGCTCCACATTGCAGAGAAACTTTGCCCAGGGTCAGCACCTCCTCTGGGCCTCATGAGGATCATATTCCTAACGGCATACATCCAGAATGCAGCTCTGCATCATTAAATATACACAACTGAGGGGTGGAAAGTACATTTACTCAAGTATAATGTAGTTTGAGAGTTTTGTTCTCATGCCACTTTCTACTTGTACTCCACCATGTTTTGCTTTAGTTATCCATTACTTTATATATGGAGTTTTACATTGTTGATTTGAGATATCTCTACTTTATTTGAGTATTATATTGTTAAGCCACTTTCTACTTGTACTTCACCACGTATCAGAGGGTAATCTTGCACTTTTTTACTCTTTACTTAAGTTACATTTTGAGATACCTCTACTTTTTTTGAGCAATTCGTTTTCATGCCACCTTCTACTTGTATTCCTCCATGTTATTTACTACTTTATATATTACGTTTTACAATGTTTAAGTACTGTACTTAAGTACATTTAAGGGTACCTCTACTTTATTTGAGTGTTATATTGTTATGCCACTTTCTACTTGTACTCTACTACTACTTTACTTCATACACTTTATTTATCTCACAGTTGAAGTATATCATAGACTGTATTATAGACAGTTGCAGGTTCATATTAGTATTCTGTTCCTCTACTGTGACGTTTCCATTTTGCCTTTGCAGACTATTTACATGCACACAAACGTATAACCTGCACAGGGAAGGGAAACCCCAACAAGCAGAATATGGGCTCTTTAAGATTTTTACAAATAAAAAATATGAAGAATTTAAAAATTAAAAATTAAAAGTTTGCATAAAATGTGAATTTCTCGATGTGAATATTTGTTGGTTTTCCATTTGAAATATGATTGCATTTCTCACATCTAGTGATGCAATATTTACTAGGATAACAGTCACTAGGGACACTTTCATTCATCTGTATGGAATCTGAATGAACTTGAGTATTTCCCTGATTATATACAGAACTTTAGAGGTAACAGAGTTTTTTTACACTGTGGTTTTAGTACTTTTTACCCGAGTAAATGAAACCTTCTCCTCCTCTGCATACTTGCAAGCAGAGCCGGAAGTATAACGATAGGAAATATCTACTTTTGCATGAAAACATTTGCAGTTCAATAGCTTTTTGGAAGAGATATATGTTTGTGGCTACGTCGTTTAAACATGTAAAACGTGAGTTGGCCAGGGAACGTGTCCAACTGTACGAATTTATAATCGTTAATGTCGACATGTCTGTGAAATGATGTGTGATTATGCTTCAGATCAAACTCCAAAGGAGATATGAGGTAGGTGAGAAACTGTGGGCCAAGCAGCTCTGAATCATTTGTAATAATCACAATCATCTGCGTCAAACAGACAGTGATGCTAATCCCCCCCCGACAGCGAATAACTCAGCGTTCTGGCTCTAATTTACGTCGAACCACTCCTGGTTTTTTAAAAGGGATTTTCTTGGGAAAGTCCTGAGTGTCCTCTTCCAGCATGAGAGTAGCATGCTAACAAAGGTCTCCCAACTGTAGCTGTGAACATGACAGGATGTGTGATTACCTAGAAGAGCATCAGGACTGTTTGAGGCAGATGATAGCTATGTGATTAACATGATGATTCAGCCTCTATGGAGAGAGACATCGAGCATGCTCATTTCTGACGTGGAGCTAATCTGAAGTAAACATTGAATACTGCTTTCTATTCCTCCATCTTGTGACTGTGTAACTCCCTCTCTTGGATATCAGCATGTGAAGGACACTGCTCAGGAACTAGTTGATGCTCTGTATGTGATGACTCCTTCCATTCTGGAAAGGATCACAGATACATGGATCCTGAGACTGAAGCTCAAGCCGGGGACCAGGGAGATTTTTCTAACACATTTGGATCGGAGAGCGTCTGGTCTGCAGGCTGCTCTGTGTGAGAATGAGTTTTGGTGCGGTGGAAACATCGGCTTTTACCGGAGGTGTCGACGGGAGGAGAGTCGGGATCGTCCATCAGGGTGGTGTTCTCCTCCCCCGCCAGAGGAACACTCTCCCCTCCGTCAAACATCCCAGACACGGCCACAGTGTACTTCGTTCCCGCCCTGAGGGAAGAAAGTAAAAAAAACATAAATCTAAATGTCTATAATGTGAAAAAATAAGCTCCTGGTATTTCAAATGGCTCTCAAGTTAAATAACTTCTTTTATTGGACCTGCATAACTTAAAGGTCTCCTAAAAAAAGAAAGAGAGCAGAGCTCATGCAGGAGAATTCTACCCAGAAACTCAGCTAAATGCTGCCGTGATGAAACTCCACATCATGTTCCAAACCACATCAAGGATCCTCTCTGAAACAGGATGGAGCTCAAACTCTTTCTCTCTCTCAGGTTTACCACAAGGTGACTTCCTTTTGATTTCCTGCTTCTTCACACACACTCTCTCCAGCACAGGTTAGCTCTGAGTGTTAGCATGCTAATGTAAACACAGACCATATTACTTCCAGAACACGTCTCATTGTTTCTGACAGCAACGTTTCTGATTGGCCCGTGGGGGTAAAGCCCGCCCACATTTTAGTAATGTTGTAATGACGCAGCAAATCTGGATCAGCTCCGTTGTTCCCCGTTTTTAGAGATGTGGGTACGGAGGAGAAGAGAGAGGGGTTTATTTTCTGACACATATTTATGTTTAAAAGACATAAAAAAGTGCATTTTGCATAATAGGAGACCTTTAACTAATCTACAGGAACCTTGTTAGAGAGTTCACCATGAAGTTGTTCATAATAATATTTTGCTTAAAAGTGCAAACATTAAAACACACCAGGATAATATGACCCTGTTTCAACAGATGTTGTTCATGAAACAAACACATTTCACATGATGTTCTACTTTAGAGTAATTCTGTCTGAGTCAAACTGGCGTTACACCTCTGTTCTCAGTCCAGACAAGGGAGAATAAAACAGGAAGAGACAGTGGATCGTCACGATGCTGCCAGGAAGTTAATTGTAAAAAATGTACAGTGCTTCACTACAGCGGAGTCCAGGTTGTCTAAGTATGTTCGATAGCCAAAAGCTGGCATAGCATGAACTGCCAACTCACTTGCTATTTAAGTTAGACAGACTTTGAGTCTTTTAGTTTCTGAGAAGCTCAAAGACTATAGCCATACAGTTATTTCTGAATAAAAAGCACAATAATCCTACAATCCTACCCATCCCTAGCTGCTGGTAAAGACACCAAGGTAAGCGACATATTTAATTGGTTATCCATGTTGAATTAACCACAAGTATTAAAGGCTTAACCTGTTTAGCCCTGAGCCTGTTTTTCAGGTCTCAGGGTCGAAAATGACAATCCCAGAACAAATGACCATATCTTCCCTTCTAAAAGGGTTAAATTAATAATCTTTTTTCTCAAAGTAATGATAAACCTGTGAGTTGGATGTAGAAAAGTCAGAATCAATATAGATGTTTTTTTATTTTAAAGTAAATTCAGATTGAACATAGAAAAAACTGTAAATTATAGTGTCCGTCCAAAAATTCGTTTTTACTTATAGTGAAAACTAACCTTGGATGATGGTAAGGTAGACTAAAAGCTTTAGGAATCCAAAGTACAACATATAATAAGTACCCTGTATCAGGATTGATGCAAAACAAGTGAAATTTGACCTTTTTAGAGAGGTTTAGAAAAAAAAAAACACTTCTGGGGCCATTTGGGTGGATTTTACATATCTCTTGTCCCCCTTTGTCGATGTTGCTGATTGACATCTCTTTCTAACCGTTAGAGCCAATATAATCGAAGGGGAATCTCCCCACTCACACACATGCTAAAACAAAAAGGTGGGGGCTTTGCACATTCAGTTTTGCATCAGAGCGAACCTATCTCTAGCTCTGACATCTGGAAACGGAAAAGCAGGTTTATTGCTTATGGATTATCAGAAATCATTCAAAGTGACACAGACACATTGGATTAACCTATGGATTAACTTCAGCTGCGTTTTTATCGTTGTAATGCCATTGAAGACCACTTCTGACTAGACAACGACACAGATGAGCCATGTTAGCGTTTTTAGCTACCTAGCGCCACATGTTTTGATGTCTGTTTTTGTTTATAAAGTCGCAATTTCGTATCATTGAGTGATAATGTCTGTACCCATCGAATCAGTTAGATGAGTTTCTTCCCGTTACATGGATATAAAACATTCATAGTTTATTAAATGAACATGCCCTCAGACACTGTTTCCTGCAAGATGTTGCAGGAGGGCCCCGGTACCGGGGTCTCTCGGGCTTAACAGGTTAAGGGTCACCTGATAGTGGCGTCACTGGTTTAAAAGTCTCAGATTCCTGCCGTCCAAACTACAACACAGTCCCTGATTTTCAAACATCGAACCCTTCTCTAAATGAAGGCATGACCTTTTTCAGAATATTTAAACATCTAGTAGTTAGAAAAAGCTTACCTAAGTTCCTCTAGAACGATGGTGTTATCGTAGGGACCGACTAGGAGCTCCCCCAGGTCGATATCATTCCCATCGGGGTGAAAGGTCACCTTGTATCCCTTCACTTCTCCGGGAGATGGATCCCAGGTGACCCTGAAACTGGTCTTAGTGGGTTCTGAGGTCTGAAGGTTCCTGGGAGCCTTGTAGGGAGACACTGAAATAAAAAGAACCCGGGAAGAACTTCAGGACAAACTTGTGCAGATCAAAAATTTAATAAAACTCCATTGATTGGCAAAGGTTTGGAAGGTCAGCCAGTCCACATTCAAGCTCATCAGTCCATAATACAATACCTTGAACCTGATTGGTTAAAGAAGCCCAGTGTCATGCCGTGTGTTAGTAATAATAGCGTGTGATTGAGCGTGGGTTTATCAACTGTGGTTTTAGTGTGCTGGTGCTTCTTTGCAGGGTTAAATAATATGCATCTTAACAAGTCGTTTAAACTGGAAGTCAGTCTTAAACTCTGGCACAAAAGGGGATACAAATCTGCAACTTGGACGACCTAATCATGTTTGCGTCCAACAAAGCATGAGTTGTGTTATCGTTTCTCTAGAAAAAAGTGACAAAATTGTCCGACAAGCCGAGGTTCTCCATCAGTTTTGCAATAATGAAATTTACTTGGAGATAGCAAGGAAGCCAGTTGAGGTCAGAGTCCTTAGCCGGACCAGAAAGGTTGGATTTTGGGGGAATTTAAACACACTTTCCTGTGTATGTCAAAGACAAATATAGTCAAACAGTTGAGAAGTGACCCTAACCCTAATCCTAGTTAGATCAAAGAAACACATCCATTGGGTCACTGACTTGAACCAATATTAGCCCAAAAAGTTCAAGCGAAATGTTTTATTTTTCTACCTAAAAATGTGTTTCGCATTACTGACATTTCATAGGAAAAAGTCCTTCAAGGTCAGTAGAGATGAAAGTCTAAATACTGACTCTAAAAGTTTGATTTTGTGGGAATCAAACACATTTTCCAACGTTAAATGCAGTCAGATAAAGTTGAGAAGTAACCCTAACCCTAACTCTAGCAACTGAAAACAACACATCCATTAGTTAGTCTTAGACTTTCTGTAAGTAGAACCAATATAAGCCCAAAGGTTAACCTGGAAACATCTAATTTTGTACCAAAAAAGTGTCTAAATCCTGACTATAAAGTCATAACGTTGATAGTGACCCTAACCCTAACCCCGGTCAAATAAAGTGACTACACACAGAAGCAATAACAACACATCCATTAGTTATTCCAACTTTCTATAAGTAGGACCGATGCTAGCCCAAGATGTATGGTACATTTAATGATATACCACATACTTGTAGCTGGTTAATGCTCCGTGACGTTTAGGCTATTTAATGTGTGTTCGAGACACTTTTCGATATCGGAGCTACTGGTTCTGCAACAACTTTCTACCCAGTAGCACTCGCCATGTACTCTAGATGATTGGGGCTGGAGTTTAACCAATATTTGGGTAGTGAGAGGTGGCATGGCTGCTGTGGAAACCTGAACAACTAGTTTGCAATCAGGCATCTCCAAACCAGACCTGGAACATTCCTCTGTTTCCTAAAGCGTTGAAATCAGACCAACGTGTCTACCTCTACATCATCTGCAAGATTTGGTAACACTTTATATTAAGGTACACATATTCACCATCAACTAGTTGTTAATTAAAATGCATATTAGCAGTATATTGTCTCTTTATTAGTCATTATAAAACACGTATTAAGTACTAGGCCATTAGCTAAGAGTTTTTCCTTAATAACCCTCTAATTAGTGCTGATTTATTGTAAGTAAGGACGTTGTTGTACGTGAGTTTGGGTCTTAATATGCTTTGCTCAATATCTCCCATAATAACACCTAACACATATGGTTACTATAAGTGTTAATTAACTCAAAATGAGGTTTTTCTAACTCAGAATATGTTCCCTATTTTAAAGTGAAGTCTTGTTCATTTGTACTGTTTCTGTTTCTGATTTGATGTAAAGCGTCTTTGAGCATCAGGAAAAGCGCTATAAAAATCCAATGTATTATTATTATTATTAATATTATAACCAATAAGCTAGTAGTTTGACTCAAAATTTTTATATTTTACTATATATTTTTAACTATTTTTTATATGTTTCTAGTTCTCTACCTGTGTTTTTAATTCTTGTTTGTATGCACCACGACACCAAGTCAAATTCCTCGTACGTGTAAACCTACCTGGTAATAAACCTGATTCTGATTCTAATTCTAATATGCATGTTAATTAACAACCATTTGATGGTGAACATGTGTACCTTAATCTAAAGTGTTACCCAAGTTTTAAGAGTGAGCTCAGGTTCAAACGTCTTGTTTGGGATGTTTCGTGTTTCTGCGGTGTGCTGTTCTGTCAGAGGGTTGAATTATGGACCAAAACGTACGTGTCGTTCCTACTCCTTGCCTTGCTTTTCCTTCCCCTCGCTTGTAGATGGGGTTCACGGTGATGGTGTAGGTGGTGGTGGGCTGCAGGCGCTTCATGACGGTGGAGCTGCTAGTCCCGGGGACCTTCAGGAACATTTCTTTTCCCCCGTCAATCGGAGAGTACTTCAGCCGATAATGCGCCACTTTTCCCGGCGCTGGCGTCCACGAGACTCTCATGGATCGCTCGGTCTCCTCCGACACGGCCAAGCTTTTACCGGCAGCAGACGCTGAGAACAGAGGAAAAAATATATATATTATATTATAATGCCAACATTTTTGTATTTTTAAATGTAATATAATATTTGTTCTAGGTTTTTTTGTAGTGCAGTAACAGGATGTACGATATCATTTATTTATCTATTTATTTAATGTATTATTTTCTTTGCTTCTCGACCCATATATTTTCAATAATATATACACATATATATATATATATTTGAGTGTTTACATTTATAGCTAATATTTAGATTAATTTAAATCTTAAATAATACTTTAAAATATATTCTTTGCAGGGAAATACATACAAAAATATATATATTTTACCCCATATTTAGCCTTTTATGAATATTGTGCTTCCTGTGATTTGAATATTGCACCGTAATGCAATGATAAAATGTTGATGTTTTCTTACTACAATTACACTTCATTATCATCGTTAACCTGTTTTGTATGCACATGATTATATTGTACACACATATTCTTTTGGGGGCTGTTAAACTTCCATAAACAGCTAGTTATTTGTTATCAAAAATCCTAAAATCAACCCCTGTTCTCTATTTCCAGGCATTCAATGACCTCCTGGTCACTACAGACCCTGGTGACTCTGCCATCCTAATGCTCTTAGACCTCACAGCTGCCTTTGATACGATTGACCACTCCATCCTTATCTCTGGTCTAGAGCACTGTGTGGGTATCAGGGGCGCTGCCTTAGAGTGGCTCAGGTCCTATCTATCCAAGAGATCTTTCTCTGTTAGACTTGGTGACTTTGCATCTTCTTCTGCCCCCTATCCTGTGGAGTTCCCCAAGGTTCTATTTTGGGGCCCATTTTATTCTCCTTATACCTTCTCCCCCTTGGACTAATGTTTAGAAAACATGGCGTCTCCTACCACCTTTATGCGGACGACTCCCAAATATACCTACCCCTAAAACAATAACACCAGCTCTCTGATGCCCCTGGTCGACTGTCTTAATGACAGAAAGGCCTGGATGGCGCTAAACCTTTTAAATATAAATGAGAGCAAAACGGTGATGATGAGAGCAAAATGGTGATGTCCTTTCCATTGACCTGGGTTCAACCGTATGCAAAACCCACGGTCACTAATCTGGGCGTCAAAATCGACAGTGCTTTTAAATTGGATAAACAGATAAACTCTGTGGTTGAGTCCAGTTGTTATCACTTGAGGCTCCTGTCCAAAATTAAACCGGTTTCATCCTTTTTAGACTTTGAGCGTGTTATTCATGCCTTTGTTTCTACGCGTCTAGATTACTGCAATGCACTTTATGCCAGCCTAAACAAGACCTCGCTGGCACGCCTGCAGCTGGTACAAAACGCTGCGGCTCGGCTGCTTACAGGAACACACAAGCATGAACACATCACACCAGTTCTGGCTTCCCTCCACTGGCTTCCTGTCCATTTTAGAGTTCATTTTTAGATGTTATTGTTTGTTTTTGAATCTCTTAATGGGCTGGCCCCTCAGTACATCTCTGACCTCCTACAGGTGAACACCCCCTCAAGGGCTTTGAGGTCAGCTGATCAGCTGCTGCAAGTAGTCCCTAAAACCAAGAAAAAGACCAGGGGAGACCGAGCCTTCTCAGCGGTAGCCCCCAGGCTCTGGAACGACCTGCCCCCTCATGTCAAATTGTCGCCCACTCGCCCAACTTTTAAGTCGCTCCTGAAGACCCACCTCTTTTCCCTCGCTTTCGAGCCAGTCTGAGCTATGCTCTACCTATTGTATGTTTTATCGATTTGTATGCTTTTATTGTCTGTCCAGCTTTTATGTACCTTGTATTAATTATTATGTGTGCCTTTTATCCTTTTATATTTTCTTATGTGTGCCTTTTATCTATTATTGTAATATTATATTCTATTATAATGTTATGTTTGTTGTGAAGCACTTTGGTAAACCCTCTGTTTTTAATATGTGCTATACAAATAAAGTGTGTGTGTGTGTTTAACTGCAGGCATAAATGTTGAGTAATCCCACCAGCATCATGCCAAGACTAATTGGTTATAAATTAGGCGTTCAAATTATCTATTGGTGAGGAAATGTTAACCACATTTTCCCTCAGAAACAAAGATATGAAATCAACTTTTTCCAATTATTCTGCAAGTTATTACAAAAAGAAAACTCTGCAAGGGAAGAATATGTAACTTTAACAATACCCAGGAACGTTTTTCAGACCGCTTGATTTTGTTTTATTGGCGGAAAGAAACATGGCATCCAACTTTTCAATGTGTTGTTGGCAAGCCCCCAGGAAGTGTGCCGGACTCTGTGCCCAATATTCGTTGTGTCCAAACGGCGGTAATGCAACTTCTGTATCAGTCCGTGACGTCACTGGGCCCAGAAATACTTTTTCCCATTGACTAACATGGGGAAAGAGACGTCTGTAAATCAGTGGATACTTTTTTTGTAACTAAATAAACGACCCAGTATGAACTATGTTATAGCCCTAATTAGAATCATTCGGTCCTTAAAGTTGTAAAATGCACTAAAAGCCGAATCTAGATTTATTTTCTTTCTCCATTCAGTCTAGTGAGCCGAGTGTGGGAGCTCGGGGCGGGGCTTAAGGGGTGCATGCTCTGTGAGCGCACATACGGGTCTTCTGCTCGGCATGATGGGTAATCTGTGACGTTTCGCTCTCTCAAAGGTTGGGCCATTTTATCTTCATGCGCCAATGAGCAGCTCTCATAGGAAAGAACGAGACCCCGCCTCCCACGCTGTATCCAGTTCTTATTAAACATCCATGCCGGGGATTACAAAATAAATAGCTGGAGGAACAAAACACGCTGAAAATGTGTTTTATGAACTCATGAGGTTTCTACACATGGAGGAAATCAAATGTACTTTGGGTGGTTCCATAGGTACATTTTCAGGGTTTTTATCCAAATTATTTTCTGTATTTTTATAGAAAAAACCCCAGATTTGTACAAGATATTTTGTTTATGTGATATTTCTACCCTTTATTTTATTGGAGGGGTTCCTTTGTGCATGTTGTGTTTATTAATTATGTATTTATTGTTATTTATAATGACTTTATTTGTACTGTATTATTATTATATTGTTATTGTTATGACATGTTTCTACCCTCTATTTTATGGTTTATCTTTTTAGATGTATTTATTTGTAAGTGTTTGATTTGTCTAAATGTCGTCTTGCTGTGGGTGGACTGTTTGTGAAGATTTACGCAATCTGATTCCTCATGTTTTAAATATTAAATAAGTAATGTGGTGAAGTTTCTAGGGTGTGTTTCTTCTCGACGTGTATTCACAATACGTCATTCACTCGCCACACACACATTTAACCAATATCCCCTCACTCGTGAAATTGGATATTTCAGAGAGCGATAAACAGCAGAACTGTCAACACTTCAGCGTGACACTCCCATTTACAGTTTGAAAATAATCAACAAAGAATATCCTGATTAGACACGAGAGAAGAAGAATGCCTAATGTGTGATTATGCAAGCTCTGAAATCCATTTTCTACTGTAACAAAGGAAGTATTGATTCGATTCTGGCTCCTATTTGTGTTGCATGTAGTTCCTAAACATCCCTCACAGGGGTAAACAAATCTAGCTCATGAACTCACCACCAACTTGTATTCACCTTTCCTGGGCTGCAGAAGGGATTCAAATGCACCTTAACCTCCAAGCTGTTCAGTAGAGCTGCTCTGTCCTTAATTTAAGTATTTGTTGAAGTTCTGTTGCATGCACTTATTCGTCTTTTATCGTTTAATGTAAAGCATGTTATTACCAAGTTTTTAAAAGTGTCACATAGCCTTACTTATGATTAGTTAGGCAACTTAACCAATAGTGTATTTTGGGGGAATTCCCAACTGAAATGCTCCTTTTTTTGCACCCACAACCACGAAACCCCCCCCCCAAAATGGTGTAAATTGCAGTTCAACTTGTGGGCTTGTTTGCACTGTGTTTGTGAATACAGAGGTGCAGGAATAAGTCCTTAAAACCTCCAAATGAGTCAGCAATATCTAAATGAGTAAACATTTTGTTTTGACATTATCAGCAACAAATACTGTCCTGAAGGCTGGCCGTCCACGCCATTACACGCTACCTTCATTAAGAATAGAGTGGTTAGGAATGAGTCTTAAAACCTGGGAATGAGTCAGCATTTTCTGTGTTCTTACCGTCAGTGGTTTCCTGTCCAATGAGAGGTTCGCTGTCTCTCTGCTCGTATGTGGCGATCACAGAAACTTGGTAAAGCGTCTCCGGACTCAGACCCTCCAGAACGGTTTCGGTTTCGTCTCCCGGCACCGTTTTATCTCCGGCTTCTGCCGAAAACAGCGACTTCCACCGGATTTGGTACATCTTCACGTTCCCGGGAGCCGCTGTCCACGACGCCTTGAAGCTGGATTCAGTCACGTCGCTGGTGACCAGGTTTTTAGGAGGGGCCACCTCTGAAAAACAACAAGGGAATTGTGCTTTTAGTTTTCGTTATTTTCATTCATTAGTTATGGAAGTTTGAACGTAGATTTTTCTTTTATCGCAGGATAGGTAACCTTGATAAGGCATTCCGAGACAAAAGTATTGCAGGACATAATTAACGTGTAACGCAAGGGGAAATCATAAGAGATATAAAATAAGGTCGAACGAAAGTCACCTGGAACAAGAGCAACACAGAATGAAAGCAACGGAAAATTTAAGTAACGTAGGACAAGAGTAACGTAGGACAAGAGTAACGTAGGACAAGGGTAACATAGGACAAGAGTAACGTAGGACAAGAGTAACGTAGGACAAGAGTAACCTAGGACAAGAGTAACCTAGGACAAGAGTAACGTAGGACAAGAGTAACCTAGGACAAGAGTAACGTAGGACAAGAGTAACGTAGGACAAGAGTAACCTAGGACAAGAGTAACGTAGGACAAGAGTAACGTAGGACAAGGGTAACGTAGGACAAGAGTAACGTAGGACAAGAGTAACCTAGGACAAGAGTAACCTAGGACAAGAGTAACGTAGGACAAGAGTAACGTAGGACAAGGGTAACGTAGGACAAGGGTAACGTAGGACAAGGGTAACGTAGGACAAGGGTAACGTAGGACGAAACTAACGATGTATGGCAGTTTTGTGTCTTATGAACGTAGATTGTTCTTGATATGATTATTTAATATTTGGTTAATTATGGTTGTTTATAGATCTTCACGGTCACCTGTATATTTGTCTTACTTTCTAATTTCAATTTCAATTTTGAGATGTTTATATTTTAGAATTGTTTATTTTTACTCTTTTAATAAGTTATTATGTGCAATGCCTTGTTTTGTTTTATGCTGCTGCGACAACAAAACATTCCCAAATTGGGATTAATAAAGTACATCTTATCTTAATTTATTGTTTCAAGGTATTTAGATTTTTCGGAGCAATAATTTCAATAGTTTTTTAAAGATAAACTCATCAATCAAATTCCTTAAATGTCCTCCCAGACACAAAACCGTTTCAATTTATTTCGCAATACTGACATTTAGGGAGAATGTCCTTAAGGAGAGTTCAAATAAGAGTCCTTATCCTGACCACAAAGGGATGATTTGATTCTGGGGAAATTTAAACAAATATTCCAAATCAACTTGACGATAAAAGACGATCAAGGAGATTAGCCTCAGTTGGATAAATTACTGGATGCAATAAAACAAAGAAACACATCCATGAGTTTTCCAATGAATGGACCCAAAAGTAAATATTTCTTAAGGATTCATTCCCTGACTTTGTGAACAATGGTGCCTTAAAATTCCCTACATTTCCTCCCAAAAACAGATGTTTTAAATCTCAACTGTAAGCCATTTGTCTTTAGTATACCATAAAGGCAGTGTGGTTGTTTTTTCTTGAATTCCTTCCATTATCTTCATTTTCTTCTCCTTAAAACAAAGGAACAATTTTTCAATTTTGTAAAGTGGAAACTATTAAAAGGCCAGGGAGTGGACAGAAGAATTGAAGAAGTCTCCACAGCTATAAAAGGCAGAGACGCCTGGAGAACAAATGCAATATTTGAAATATTTCTGAGGACATTTCGGCTTCATTAGTGAGTTCAGAGCGTGCGGAGACAGGAGCCGAGGGAGAGGAGAGACATAAAGCATGTCGGGAACTCAAAGTGTCCGCGACGCCCACGATAGGAAGACATTTCTTTATTGGGTTTTATTTATTGGACATCTTCATCGGTTCAGAGCTTCCTAGATGTCATTTTACAGACATTTTACAGTTTTACCTTCTAGCCTCTAGAGACATAACTTCATAACTTGCTTTCTTATGGGTTATGGAATATGTGTTTTAATATCCCAATGTTTGCAGTTTATTACTTTGGTTATTTCTGTGGTTTTGGCATAGAGGTTTTACTTGAAATAGCAGCTGATGATGGATGTTAAAACGGGACAGTTTGGGTAAGAATTATACTAAGATTTATGCTAGTTATCTATCTTCTGTTTTCTCTACTATATACGTTTTATTTACAGATATTGTATCGTGGTCGTGATGGAAAAAAAGGTATATTATAAGGCATGTTTCTTTGTTTTACACTGTATGTAAAAATATGTATGGACAAACGTCAATAAGTCAACAAATAAAAATTAAAAAATCCTCTGTGATTTTCTTTAAATATCCAGTTTTAAGACACTGGTATATTCTCTTTTTGTTTGTGCATTTCTCCGAGATAAAGCTCCTTTTGCGCAGCTTAACTGTTCTTTCTGCCAAAGTAATATCTTATAATGTCCAGTAATCTCACCCTGACTCCAACTAACCCAAAACAGACCCTAAATCAACCCTTGTTGAGTTGATGGAGTAACTGAATCACATCGCTATACAAAAATGTGCTCACGCAGAAACTGCTTCGTACTGAGAGTTACATTACAAACATCATGACCTCAACTTTCTGATGGCTGCAGCTCACAGAAGCCAAAACCCTTAAAGATGTATTTCAATAAATATATTTCCCCCACCACAGGGGCTCGTGTTTCTGCAGGCAGACATTTGGTCACTTTCCTATACAGACACAGGAAATATTTGTGAAAGATGGAAAAGGAGGAGGAAGAGGGGGGGGGGCATGTCAAATTATAATATGTTCTGGAGTTATAGGAGGTGACAGCATGTACAGTGGGAAATACAGTTTCCACAATGTGATGATTAGCAAAGAATATCACTTCCCGCTATATAATCAAGAAAGTGAGCATCAACTTTTGCCAATTGATACAGATCCTTAAAAAGAGAGAGGATAGGAAAACACAGGGCTCTCCCAATATGTTTAAATGTCGTAATAAAGGAAAGCAGAATGAATATAACACTGAACGCCGGGTGAAAAGTCACGTGGGAACAAAGTCACGTGGGAACAAAGTAACTTGGGAACAAAGTCACTTGGGAACAAAGTAACGTGGAAACAAAGTAACGTGGGAAACAAAGTAACGTGGAAACAAAGTAACGTGGAAACAAAGTAACGTAGAAACAAAGTTACGTGGGAACAAAGTAACGTGGGAACTAAGTCACATGGAAACAAAGTAACGTGGGAACAAAGTAACGTGGGAACAAAGTAACGTGGGAACAAAGTAACGTGGGAACAAAGTAACGTGGGAACAAAGTAACGTGGGAACAAAGTAACGTGGGAACAATGTAACTTGGGAACAAAGTCACGTGGGAACTAAGTCACGTGGGAACTAAGTCACGTGGGAACTAAGTAACTTGGGAACAAAGTCACTTGGGAACAAAGTAACGTGGAAACAAAGTAACGTGGAAACAAAGTAACGTGGAAACAAAGTAACGTAGAAACAAAGTTACGTGGGAACAAAGTAACGTGGGAACTAAGTCACATGGAAACAAAGTAACGTGGGAACAAAGTAACGTGGGAACAAAGTAACGTGGGAACAAAGTAACGTGGGAACAAAGTAACGTGGGAACAATGTCACGTGGGAACTAAGTCACGTGGGAACTAAGTCACGTGGGAACTAAGTCACGTGGGAACTAAGTAACGTGGTAACTAAGTCACGTGGGAACTAAGTCACGTGGAAACAAAGTAACTTGGGAACTAAGTAACGTGGGAACTAAGTAACGTGGGAACTAAGTTACGTGGAAACTAAGTAACATGGGAACTAAGTAACTTGGGAACAAAGTAACGTGGGAACTAAGTCACATGGAAACAAAGTAACGTGGGAACTAAGTAACGTGGGAACTAAGTCACATGAAAACAAAGTAACGTGGGAACAAAGTAACGTGGGAACTAAGTAACTTGGGAACAAAGTAACGTGGGAACTAAGTCACATGGAAACAAAGTAACGTGGGAACTAAGTAACGTGGGAACTAAGTAACGTGGGAACTAAGTCACATGGAAAACAAAGTAACGTGGGAACAAAGTAACGTGGAACAAAGTAACGTGGGAACTAAGTAACGTGGGAACAAAGTAACGTGGGAACTAAGTAACGTGGGAACTAAGTCACATGGAAACAAAGTAACGTGGGAACTAAGTCACATGGAAACTAAGTAACGTGGGAACTAAGTAACGTGGGAACTAAGTAACGTGGGAACTAAGTCACATGGAAACAAAGTAACGTGGGAACAAAGTAACGTGGGAACAAAGTAACGTGGGAACAAAGTAACGTGGGAACAAAGTAACGTGGGAAACAAAGTAACGTGGAAACAAAGTAACGTGGGAAACAAAGTCACGTGGAAACAAAGTAACGTGGGAACAAAGTAACGTGGGAACAAAGTCACGTGGGAACAAAGTAACGTGGGAACAAAGTCACGTGGAAACAATGTCACGTGGGAACAAAGTCACGTGGGAACTAAGTCACGTGGGAACAAAGTAACGTGGGAACAAAGTAACGTGGGAACAAAGTAACGTGGGAACAAAGTAACGTGGGAACAAAGTAACGTGGGAACAATGTAACGTGGGAACAATGTAACTTGGGAACAAAGTAACGTGGGAACTAAGTCACGTGGGAACTAAGTCACGTGGGAACTAAGTAACATGGGAACTAAGTAACGTGGGAACTAAGTCACGTGGGAACTAAGTCACGTGGAAACAAAGTAACTTGGGAACTAAGTAACGTGGGAACTAAGTAACGTGGGAACAAAGTCACGTGGGAACAAAGTCACGTGGGAACAAAGTAACGTGGGAACAAAGTAACGTGGGAACAAAGTCACGTGGGAACAAAGTAACGTGGGAACAAAGTAACGTGGGAACAAAGTAACGTGGGAACAAAGTAACGTGGAAACAAAGTCGCGTGGGAACAAAGTCACGTGGGAACAAAGTCACATGGGAACTAAGTAACGTAGGAACAAAGTCATGTGGGAACAAAGTCACGTGGGGACAAAGTAACGTGGGAACAAAGTAACGTGGGAACAAAGTAACGTGGGAACAAAGTCACGTGGGAACAAAGTAACGTGGGAACAAAGTAACGTGGGAACAAAGTAATGTGGGAACAAAGTA